ACCTTTCTCCTTATATGAAAGATATATATATCTCCTTTACGTCCTCATGAATCCTCGTTTTGTCAGTTAATGCTCGAGTACAACACCACCTTCTCCTGCCACGAGTCCCAGCTCTTTCCTGTTAACGAGCTGGATGGTCTTAGAACTCGGGTTACCGAACTTGAAGACGAGATCCGTCAACTCAAGGAGATGGAGGAAGAAAATGCCAGAGCGGTGGCAAAAGCGAACGAAATCCGAGAGCGAATGCTGGAGGCCGAGGCTCGCTGCAACCTTCTTGAAATTGCCAAGACTGATCTTTCCGAGAAGCTGAATTCCGGAAAGAACATGTACCTCGAGGCATGTGATAAGATTACTTCGCTGGAAGCTGAAGTTAAGCGAAGCGAGGAATGGTGCAAGGTTGTTGCTGAGAAAAGGGACGAGGAGCTCACAGCAGCGAAAAAAGATGAAAGGATTAGGCTCCGTGAACTCTATAGCGGGCTCGCCTCGAAGCATGAGACCTACTTCAAGGCCATAAGCGATAACGAGATGATTGGGACGCGTCTTGCCGAAACTCGGGCGAACCGAGAGCTTCTTGAGGAGATCCTGAAAGGAGAAATTCCGGACATCAAAGCCGAACTAGAGTCGGTAAAGAGAGATGAGGCAGAGGCTGAGAGAAAGGCTCGCGAGGTAAGCGCTCTCAAACCGCAACCAAATGAGTTTACTCATCTCTTTGTAGCGACTCCCCCTGAACCCGAACAAAAGGCATCTCTTCCCGAAGACGATGTCGCCATTGATGAGTTCGGAACTAACACGGATCTCATGGCTGGCCAGGATTTCGAGGCTGCCGTTCTGCCCGAGGAGATGCAGCAGGACCCCGACGTCAAGGATCAGTGATCCGTTTTCGGGGTTGTGATGGCTAATGTGCCCCCCTTTGTTGTTTTTTTTTTTAAATTCGAACCCATTTGTGTTACATTTCCCTTTTGAAGACTTGAAATTTTTTATAAGTCCTTTTGAATTATAAATCCGGAGTACTCGAGAAATTTGAATACCTCGTACGAAAAATTAAGAAATACTTAAGATTTCAACGAGATACGTAGTTTACACGAACTCAGAATTTATTACACAATGGAATAGGGAAGTATTAAGAACAAGAGTTATGCGGGTGTTCTCAATAGAAAAGATGAGGATCGGAACTCGGAGTTCGCAGAAATCCCTAGTCTGTGTTGAACCAGACCCTTTTTTGCTAAATAAAACTTAGGCTTATTTTTCAAGAATTACCAGAGGTCTGAGCTCGGTTTCGAGAAAAGTAATTACGAGGTTCTCTCGGTTTCACGGATTGCGAGATAAATCTCGGCTTTTTAAAAGATGTTTAGAAAAAATGTAAACATTTTATTTGATTTAGAGACTGCACTCGAAGTTCGAGCTGCCTACGTACCCAAAGGTGGGGATCAAGTCTATCGTAGTTCGATTTACAATAATGAAAATAACGTATTAAATAAAGTATCTTTTCAGATGAATGGAATTCCAAGCTCTCCGAACTGCTTTTCCTTCCATGTTCTCGAGGCGGTAAACTCCGTTGCGAACTACATGAGTAATCCGATAAGGACCTTCCCAGTTAATACCTAGTTTTCCAGCTCCATCTTCGGTAGTATTTTGCTGAACTTTGCGCAGTACCAGGGTTCCAACGTCGAAGTGGCGATTTCGGACATTCGAATTATAGTATCGAGCTGCGGCACTCTGGTAATTTTGCATTCGAATCAAAGCTCGATCACGCCGCTCCTCAATTGTATCGATAACGTCAACCATCAGTTCGCTATTTGCTGCTTCGTTCTGCGGGTTGTTCGTCCGTCTTGGACTTGGTACAAAAATTTCGGCAGGGATTACAGCTTCCATTCCGTAAACCAGTGAAAATGGCGTTTCCCCGGTTGCACGCCTAGGGGTTGTGCGAATTGCCCAGAGAACACTTTGTAATTCGTTAAACCAAGCTCCTTTGTGTGACTTGAGTTTTTTCTTCAAAGTAGACAAAACCGTTTTGTTCATTGCTTCAGCTTGACCATTGCCCTGCGGGTAGCGAGGCGTTGATCGACTGAGTCTGATATGCCATTCTTCGCAGAAAGATTCGAACTGCCCCGAAATGAACTGAGGTCCATTATCAGTGACGATTTCAAACGGCAACCCATGCCTACAAATGATATCCTGCCAAATGAACTTGCGAACTTGCACCTGAGTTATGTTTACATAAGCTGCTGCTTCCACCCATTTTGAGAAATAATCGGTTAGGACCAGAACAAATTTCACTCCGCGTGTCGAGACGTGGAGAGGCCCAATAATATCCATAGACCATTTCATAAACGGATAAGGCGAAGAAACTAAGGACAAGAGCTCCGTAGGCTGGTGAATCGAAGGTGCATGCTTCTGGCACTGTTCGCACTTCCGAGCGTATTCCTCGCAATCCGCAATTAAAGTGGGCCAGAAATATCCATATCTTTTTACCTTAAAGGCCAAAGAACGACCTCCGGAGTGATTGCCGCAAACTCCTTCATGAATTTCTTTTATTACAGTACGAACTTGTTGGCCAAAAATACAGATCATGTCGGGACCCGAGACGCTTCTTCTGTAAAGGATATCATTTGAAATGCAAAACCGAGCGCTTTTAGCCTTTAGACTTCGCGCTTCCCATTTATCCGTAGGGAGAGTACCATTAAGGATGTATTCTCTGATGGGTGTCCGCCAATCTGCCCCCCAATCCGGAAGCGGTAGTAATTGTAGGGCTGGTTCCGGATTTGGCGGTGGTCCAATAGGCGATTCTACTTCAGGTACTTGCTCAGCTTCTTCGTTTCTTGGCGAATCTGGGTCCATATTCATTCTTCTACGCATAGATCGAGTGGTTACAAAATTCATTTCCCCGACTGATGGACTTGAACCTGCTATGCTCGGATGCTCGATTACTTCGACAGGGATCATTCTGCTTACTGTTACTTCGGAACTCGATGCTAACGCAGCTAAAGCATCTGCAGCTGAATTCTCGCCTCGTGGAATCCTCGTGAGTTCGAAACTTTGAAACTTCTTACTCAGATGTTGAACTTGAGCTAGGTAAGCCTCCATTCTACTATCCTTAGCTTCATAGTCACCAGAAAATTGATTAGCAACGAGCTGCGAGTCACAGAATGTCCGTAGTTTCGTGATACCTATCCCAATCGCTAGGCGAAGTCCTGCAAGGAGAGACTCATACTCCGCCTCGTTGTTTGACGCATTAAATGCGAGACGAAATGACTGTTCAATTACTTCACCATATGGGGATTGTAACCGGATACCGATCCCGGAACCTTGTTTTGAAGATGCACCGTCCACATGAAGTATCCAAGGTCCTTCGTTTTCTTTGTCTTCCATGGAAACCAGAGGTAGTTCGATCAGAAAATCTGCGAGGACTTGAGATTTCAAACTTGTCCTTGTTCGGAACTGAATATCATACTCGCTTAACTCGATTGCCCATTTGACCAATCTTCCCGACTGACTCGGACTATGCAAAATTGCCCTTAACGGTTGCGTAGTTAGGATAATAACCGTATGAGATTGAAAATACGGTCTTAATTTCCGCGCCGAAGTAATTACTGCCAGGGCTAACTTTTCCATCATCGGATACCTCGACTCTGCTCCTGAAAAAGACTTGCTTACATAGAAAATCGGTCTTTCGTCGTTCCGATCCAACCGCACTAACACTCCGCTTACTGCGCTGTCAGATACTGATACGTACAAGAAAAGCTCTTCTCCGAACTCGGGCTTCGCTAACACAGGAGGTTTGGACAAATAATCTTTCAAATCTTTGAAAGCCTTTTCGCAATTCTCATCCCAGATGAAATTCTTGTTCGCTTTTCTGAGCAGATTATAGAATGGAAGGCATCTATCGGTTGACCTCGAGATGTAACGGTTCAAAGCTGCTACCCGCCCCGTGAGTCGCTGAACTTCTCGGATGTTGCGAGGCGAAGACATCGCCAGAAAAGCGTTCAATTGTCGCGGATTAGCTTCGATTCCTCGTTCCGTGACGATATAACCCAAAAACTCTCCCGACGGAACTGCGAAAGTACACTTGGTCGGGTTCAGTTTCATTCCGAACTCATTCAGGATTGCGAAGCACTGTTCTAGATGCTCGATATGCGAAGCACTTGATACTGACTTCACCAACATATCATCAATGTATACTTCCATCGTTTTACCGAGGAGATCCTTGAACATCATATTCACCAATCGTTGATAAGTGGCTCCGGCATTTTTCAATCCGAAAGGCATGACTATATAACAGTAAGTTCCGCGGTCCGTGATGAAGGCTGTTTTTTCCTGATCTTCCGGACTCATCAAAATCTGATTATATCCGGAAAAAGCATCCATAAAAGACATCATTTCGTGACCCGTAGTTGACTCCACAAGTCGATCGATGTGCGGAAGTGGGAAACTATCTTTGGGACAAGCTTTGTTAAGATCGGTGAAATCCACACAAACTCGCCATTTCCCATTTTTCTTTTTTACTACAACGGGGTTTGCCAACCAGTCCGGGTATTTGACTTCGCGAATTAAACCCGCATCAAGCAGACGCTGCACTTCGGTGTTAACAGCTTCGGCTCGATCCGGACCGAGTTTCCTGCGCTTTTGTTTAACCGGTTTGAAAGTCGGATCGATGTTGAGCTCGTGTGAGATTACCTTTGTATCAATCCCAGTCATCTCCTCAATCTTCCAAGCGAAAGTTTTCTGATTCCTTTTTAAGAATTTGATCAGTTCGGCTCGGAGTGTTTCACTTAATCCAGATCCTATGTTCACAGTTTGGTCCGGATATTCCTCATTAATTACCACTGCTTCCACGAGGTCACTGCTGATTTTTTTGACTGGATTCGCAGGTACCTCGAGCTGTGGTTGCTATTGAATCTTCAGCTTGTGACTGGACATGTAACACATCCTCGCAGCTCGCTGACTTCCAAGGATTTGTTTTACTCCGGACGTAGTTGGGAACTTTAAGCATTGATGATACGTCGAGGGTACAGCTTTCATTTCATAGAGCCAAGGCGTCCCTAAGATAACATTGTAAGCCGCAGGACGATCGAACACAGTGAACTCGACCATTTTGACTATCCCTTCAGCAGATACCGGGAGCACAATTGTTCCTACTGACATTGAAGTTTCACTGGTAAAGGAAACCAAAGGAGATGGTGGCCCCTTTATACTTTGCTTTGATATCCCCATTCTTGTCAGGGTATCAAGGAAGATTAAATCCACCGAACTCCCAGTATCAATGAGAACTCGTGATACTTCGCAATGCGCAATATCAAGTGTTATGACCAGAGCATCATCGTGCGGTTTGTCAAGTTGACTCGTTTCGCTTTCGGAGAAGGTTATCTCGGGTAACTGCTCCTCAATGACTCTTGTTTTCTTGAGTACTGGGGAGTTTGTTCTTCGTTCGTGTTGCTTGATCGCACTAATGGAGTCTCGAAAAAGCTTGGATCCCCCCATAATCACCTGGATTTGCTTTTTTGGTCCTTTCGGAATATCCGGAGATTGGATCCTCTTCGATTTCTTATTAGGGGGAGAGGACACCTCTGGCTCAACTGTTTGCTCTGACGGATGAGCTGACTCGAGCTCCGAAACATCAATTTCAGATATTTCACCAGATGCGAACTTAGCAGCCAGCAGTCTTCCTAAAGCTTTGCAATCTTTCGTAGCATGTCCATTAACTTTGTGGATTTCGCAGTAGGCGTTTGGATCACGGATCCACTTGTTACTCGGGAATGCGCCATTTTTGTTCTTGGGCGAGAAGGATTGCTTCGCAGGTGAATTCTTCGGAGAATTTTTCGGCTCTTCCCGGTCTACTGAAAATGTTCCCGCTCCGGGTTTGCGAGCTTCGGCTTGAACAGGTTTCTTCTGCGGAGGAAGCTGAGCGGGCTTCGGGGCAGCTTTAAACTTTTTGGCTAGAGCAGCTCGCTCTTCCTCCGCGTTTATCCAGTTCGTTGCCCGATGAAGAGCGTCCTGAATAGTGGCTGGTCGGTTAACAGTCAATTCTTCTCGGAAACGAGATTCATGCCAGAGACCGTTCTTGAGTGCAGCAATAGCTGCGGAATCAGACAGATTTGGGATCTGAACCATAATCTCTTTAAAGGACGTGATGTAAGTCCGGAGTGGCTCTCCAGCTCCTTGCGAGAGGTTCCATAACTGTGCATCAGTTACATCGCTCTTGATGAAGTATCCGTACTGCATAATGAAAGCAGTGGATAGCTGCTTGAAGCTATCGATAGATCCCTCTTCTAATTGAGTGAACCAGGTCAAAGCCGGCCCGGACAGGTTCTCAGCGAAGAGTTTGCATAAACCCGCGTCTACTTCATTTGGCTCCAGGTGTACGCGCCCTGCGGTAACCTGAAAAGACGTTAAAAATTCTTTGGGGTCTCCCTTACCGTTGTACCCCGGAAGTTTGACCTTCCTTTGGTCTTGAATTCGCAGGGCTGCAATCCGTGGAGTAAAAGGAGTCCTTCTTGTCTCCTCGATCACTCTATCGACTTCGGGAGCCGAGCTGGTGGCTTGATGAACCTTCGAATTCATTTCCCGGATCTGATTCTGCAGGTTCTGGATTTCCGGGCTGACCGGGAGTCGAGGTAGATTGAATCCGGTTTGGGGGTGACGCGGGGTACTCTCCGGATGGACAGGAAAAGGTGTTCTGACCAGAGCGAACGAATCGCTGGCTGGATTTTGAGGTGCTTGTGGAAAACTAGATCCTCCTCCAGGCTCGCTTTGAGAACCCAGAGGTAACGAAGCCGGGAGCGCACTGCTAGGGGTGACAAGTCTAGGATCTTGAACTTCCGAAGTGTTTGGATTGTGAAAATCCAGATGCCCGCGAGGTCCGCTGGTTCGCAAGGTTCCTGCAAGAATAGTATCAACCCGATCGGCATAAGCATTGTGGGCTGACCTGATTTCGGAACAACTTGCCGTGAGGACTGCGATTTGACTGGTGCTTTGTTCTTCGAATGCTGAAAACTTCTCAGACAAAGTAGTGGTCGCGAGTTGTTGCTGGTCGGTCTTTTCGGAGAGATCTTTCAGCATTTTCTTGATCTCGTCGAGGGCTGAGGCTGAATCCGTCACGTCTGACATCTTCTCGACTGGTTAATCTGGAGTAAAAGACTAGAATCCCCCTCCTTCTAGCGCCAAATTGTGGATGTCGGAATCCGCAATACAAAATTTTAAGATGTGTATCGGGTCGTCTAGCCTTGATAATTCGAGTAACAATCGAGAAAAAGAAAACAAAAGAGTGAAGTGTATGTATCTGTATATTGCTCAAGAATTCGGTCCGTATTACAATGGTTTTCGTTCTCTCTTTATAGTTACATGATTCGAAACCGACGTCCACTATCAAGCCGCAGATCTCGCCTTTATCATTGCTTCCGTTTCGAATCTTCATTCTCTTGCAGATCCCGTGCGACCCGCATTTCGTTTAATTCGCATGATCCCGACGTTTCACCTGAGCTGGGCTGGAGCTTACTGGGCTGTCCTTTTCGTCTCTTGGACTGGGCCGACAATTCACTTCATCTTATTAATCCATTATCTTTTCGGGCCGGATCCGAATTGCGGGATCCGACACCAACACTCACAACTAGCATTAATGTCATTGGTAAACATGGCTTATCTAGGCAAGTGGCCATTCGAGGACTACATGTTTTAAAAACGTCCACGCTTAATTTACCCCCTCTTTCAATTAAAAGTAAAAGATATTGCGCGTGGATCTTCCTTGTTGATGAATAAAGACATAAGTACCATAATAATCAAAATTTCTTTATTTACTAAATTCTGAAATTATAATTTTCACTATTTAATATCTTATTATATGGGTTAACGTTATGCTATCTAACTTTATCTCGAAACAACTAATTATGTATCATCCGTCTAAACATAAATTAGTTAGGGACATTTGCAAAAATACATTTCTTCTATGTCTTTTAAGAAAAAAAAAAAAAAATATTCCATATTGTCCATTTTTAAAAATACCTCTAGTTATGTATTCAATGACTAAATTACCACCCTTTTGGTGAGAGCAGATAATAAAAACGTAAGTTTTTCCGCCAAAAATTATTTTCCCGACAAAAAAATTCCGTAATGGTCAAATTTTTTCGTCAAAACTTTTGGCGCAAAAAATTTCTCGCCAAAAATTTTGAATTTAAAACCCTTGTAATATATTTTTAAACCTCTTGTAAATATTTTAAGAACATTTGAAAATCCATTTTTTTTGAACAAATTGCAAATCCTTTTAAAACCTTTAAAAGCCATTGTAAAATCCCATCCTTTTAAAAACCTTTTAAAACGCATGTAAATCCTTTTAAAACCCTGGTAAATACTTTTAAAAACTTTAAAAACCATTGTAAAATCTTATCCTTTTAAAAACCTTTTAAAACCCTTGTAAATCTATATATAATAGCAATCTAATAAATACCATTTGCACATCTGAACGGTTGCGTCTTTTTATCGCAACTTTTCGTTAATGTTTTTATTAATTAAAATATATATTTTACGGTTATGTTTTTTTTTATAAATTGCATTCTGAATATTTTCTACGGTTGCGTTTTTTATTGTAACTCTTCATAAACAGTTGAAACCGCTTATTCGAATCATTGCAATATTTAGTTTATTTTACGAACAATTGCAACCTTTGGTTTATATATTTAGTTTATTTCACGAACAATTACAATTTTTCGTTTATTTTATAAATAGCTATAACATTTAATTATCTACCGCCGCGTCTCTCGGTGTAACTTTTCATAAATTATTATTTTAATTTTTAATTTTCAATTACTAAAATGTATTTAAATGAGATTGTAACTATTTAATTGAACTGTTTCAACATTTGGATTATTTGACGAATTATTGCAACTTTTGGTTTTGTGTTACGAACCATTGTTATCTTTAGTATATATGATGAACTATTGCAATATTTGGTATAATTGACCCCGTTGCAGTTTTTGGAATATTTGATATCTACGGTTGCGTTTCTCGGATAAGTTCGTCATATTTTTTAAAAATATTTAAATACTAAAATATATTTAAATGAATTGTTGTTACCGTTTAATTTAACACAATAGCATTTGGTTTATTTGACGTTGAACGTTTTGGCTTATTTATCAAACCATTGTAACATTTGGTTTATTAGTTTATGCTTTTTGCACTTGGGAATAGTTTTTTAGTTACAAATTATTGTTTTTCTAATATTAATATACTTAATAAATGCTTGTGAGGGTTTTCTTTATCATAATTTTTGTAAAATATATATTGATTTGTTATTAAAAAAATTCAAAATTATTACAACTCATTATGATTTTTTCGTTTGATATTTTTTTTAAATGATTTTTGAAATATATTCCCCCGCGACATCGCGAGGGTCCTAAGTCCTAGTTCTTTTAAAACCCTTGTAAATTCTTTGAAAACCCTTGTAAATCCTTTAAAACTGTAAATCCTTGTAATCCTTTTGAATCCTTTTAAAACCTTTAAAAACTATTGTAAAATCTTTTAAACACTTTTAAATATTTTTAAAAATCTTTAAAAATCTTTTTAAATCCTTTTAAAAACTTTTTAAAACTCTTGTCAATCCTTTTAAAAATATTTTAAACCCTTATATATCCATTTCCCGCAAAAAATTTGGGATCACGTTTTCCGGCAAAAAGTTCGGGATCATTATTTTTTGGCGGAAAAATTCATCGGAAATTTTCTTTGGCGGGAAATTTTGTCGGAATCTTTTTGGCAGAAAATCGAGAAATGTTTTGGCGGGAAAATTCACTTTTTCTTTTTGTTGACTTAAATATTTTCAAATAAGGGTAAAATGGTCAAAAAAAATTAGAAGAATGCATAAATGAAAATGACTAGAAAAGGGATATTTTGAAAAAAGATATCGAAGAAAGGGCATTTCTAACAATTTCTTACGTAGTTTTCTATCAACTACAGTTGAGTTGCACTGAGATGAACATGAATACTTTTCCAATCTAACTTAGAAGCTAGAACCAATAATAAAACAGGATTATAGCAAAGGCTGAAATTATTGCAAACACCAAGTTGGAGTAGATTAGCGACAATTACAAATTCGCCGCTCTTCGCTTGACACAAATAGGTAACCGTCAATAGTTTGCTAAATCGTTGTAATTTTCCCACAAATGTTTTGGCAAATTAGTGACTCACCATAAGTGACTAATACTTGTTCTTTAAAACATAAGAAAAAAACAAGAGTTCTCTATACATTTAGAAAACTTTTTTCTAGAGTATTTATGCTATCACAATGTAAATTCACTAACATACCACACTAGGTAAACATATTTCTAGAATATTGATCACTTATGGTGGTATATTGGTATTTGTAATATTCAAGTATAAAAGAAATTGATGCATTCATGGAGACTAGGAGTTTAAGCCTGGAACTTTCAAGCTAATCAAATAAATAAAAAATAATGCATCGAGTGACAATTTATCTAATTCTTCTGTACTTAAAAAAACTATTTTATTTTTAAATTTCATTTTTATTTCATCTAGAATTCTTTTTTATTTATTTATATATCATTTTGTTAAAAGTTTTTCAATTTTATGTTTTATTTATGATTGAAAATAATACATAATATACAGTTTTTATTTTTCTATCGAAAACATCATAATTGTTTTCAAAACATTTATTATTAATAAAAATAGTATTTCTTTAATTACTTGATAACATTTTAATATGAATTTAAGAAGGAAAAAGAAAATAATCTTTATACAAAAATCATAATCGAATATATTGTTTCCTTTAATATATATATACTTGTCATAAATGGTTAACACGATACTTTTGACCCCAAAAAAAATAGTTGATGCATTACATTGTATTCTTCCTTTTTTGATTAAATACATTGTATTCTTTTTCTCAACAACGTACGATGTTCGAGGACAACTAACACATGCATGTACACAATCTATGAAAATGGCAATATATATCGTCTATCAAATAATTTAATAACCATACAAGGTATATAAATACTATAAACAATGTCATAGTAGCATCACAAAACAAAATACAAATTGTACAAACATTTAACAATGGGTGTGAGGATACAAAGAGTGTGTATGTCTATCTTAACAGTGATGGTTGTGATGCTATCACTTTCTGAAGATACGAAAGGTAATAATGATTTTGCTATGGCTCCAATGTCAGAGAAAGGGTTGCTGCCGAATCCAATGTCTTGTGTGGCAGACGCAAGAAAAATTCCTGATTGTGTAGAGTCACTAAAACAAGGCAATTTGAAAGATATAAAAAAAGAATGTTGCATTATTCTACTCGGTCTTCCCGAAGATTGTTTTGGGATTTTATTTCCTATGCGTTTCTACTATCGTGTTGTACTTAAGATTACATGTAAATTAATAGGTATTTTTTAATCGCAATTTTTCAATCATTAGATTTTTTTTCATGTAACGGTAATTCATATTATTAATATTTCTAACAAGACCATCATTCTTTTAGTGATTTGTTAATCATTACCTAAATGATTATGTTATAAGTACGAAATAATATGTGTTTACTATAATAAATAAAAATTGGGCTACTGGTTGTGAGACTCTTTGTTGGGAGCGAGAAGATTGACCCCTAGTTTGATTCTTGGTTGGGAGGGAACAAATTTGTGATTTACTGTTAATAAAATTGATGATATGATTTGAACCCCAAATGCCTAAGTAGCTAAACTTACAAGCATTTGGTGAAGGCTATGCTACAATTATGGCTACATTAAGAATAAAATATGATAGAGTTTTAATTCTAGAGTGTGTTGGAACTTGGTTTTGTAAGAGAGTGCGAGTAATCAATAAGATCTTTTTTACTTTGAGTCAGAATGTGCTCAGTGAGGCGGCTGTCATACATATAGATTTGAAAGGATTCTTTGTTGTGATTCCAACGATGTTATTTTGCTAAGGCATGATGTGAGACGTTCACGGAGGTGAGCATTCTCGCCGAGGCTTCGTTTTGGAGATAGTGATGAGTGATGACATTTATCCTTGTTGGAACTTGTTTTTGACCATTGTTATGGCGGATTTTTCAGTGAAGACGTTTATCAGAATAACCGGATTTCGGGCACGATAGAATCGTCTAGAAAACAAGGTTTACAAGATGTCACTGGGAGAATCCCATCCCCAATTTTTTCTCCTTTCGGAGACCATTCTCCTTCTAGCATTGCGGTTATAACAGCAGGGGAAGTTTTGTTGATTAAGAGCACAATTTTGAAAACCGTAGTTTGTATAATGACTACGGCCCTTATCTTCATGAGGTAGGTTCTCTTGGTGGTGATCCGAACTCTTGGTATCCAACCAAACTCTATCTATTTCACCCGTCATGACCGTTGCCGTCTCCGGAACCGGGACCCTTTTGATCTGGACATTTGTGTGTTCAATGTTGCAACCAAGACCTTCAAACGCTTCCCTAGACTCGATAACTTGAATATCAAGGATGCTCGATGGTTCCTCCCTGGGACTTGATTCATTCATACTTAGGTGTACTTGATTCCTTTTAGTTCTATGTGGAATAGCCTTTTTTTTTTTTTTTTTTGGGTTTTGTTTCGTATATGCTTTTGAATTACAATCATCACCTATGAGTGCCTAATTTCAACAGATTTCAATAATGCCATCTTCTTCATACTTTATTAATGATTAAACCAACTGATTTGCTATTATTTTTTTTTTTTTAAATTTCGTGTCCTGAGTTAACTAATAGAATTCTGTTTCCTACCATCATATCCTTGTCGCTATTAGAGTCTCCTAATTACATGTTTTAGACTACCAACTTCGTCCCATGAACTCTTCGCAGCTTATTCTGTGAAATTCGTGTTCCATGCACCTTTCTTTCTTTCACACTCTTTGTCTAAACAAAACTAGTGAAGCTTCGCTTCCCTCAAATGTAATGCACAATACACAAGTTTTTATACCTCTATAGAAAGAGAGAATTCTCAACAAAGAACAAATAAACAAATCTGATTAGCCATATCGGATCCTTGCAAGCTATGGATACCTTGTTCAGAATGTCTGTGAAAGTTGTACCATGATCAGAGCAATCCCATTTATTATTCCGAGGCATAGTGTCATTGGTAGACAATTTGACAGAGCTATTATTGACACCATTTTCCTTCAAATTGCGTATAACCTGGTCCACAATCTCGTCTTTGTATAGAGCCATCTCAATTCTCAACATCTCCTTGATTTGGGATGTGTGCTCATTGTTTCTCCGTTCAACCTCACGAAGGATCTGTTCTCGTGTGGATACATCAACATCATCAGGAACCTTTGGGGAATTGCTGGCTTCAGGGATCTCTTTGTCTGGCTTTGGTTTAGATGCCTTTTTGGTTCCCTGCTTCTTCTGTATTGGTTTGGAGACATTCTTTGTTTTAGCAGCCGCTGCTAACATTGCATCAGATAATAATGGTAGATGTGAGACACCACCATGCCAATCTGATTTATTGAAAACATGCCCATCCTTCAACTTGTTGAATATGTTGTCCACAGCCAAATCTTCAACCTCATCAGTCCATGAGAAGTCTTGGAGATCATCCTCATCTTGAGTGTGTAGAATGCACTCAATATCAACCTTGGAAGAATGAAATAAGCCATGAGGATCTCTTTATTATATATGTGAAAAAAAATAAATGGTAGACAATATTAGACTTACATTCGGATCATTCTCTGTTTGCAAGATGTTGGAATTATGAAAGGTCTTTAACTGTGTGAGTTGAAGCACAGACCTGTCAGTAAACGTCTGCTCATCGTTTAAGTCAGGTAAATACCTTTGAAGAAGAGGAATTGCGTGTAGGGCCAACAGTTGGAAAGAGAGAGTGAAGCCGTGAGTAGCTGTATGGGACTGACATAGTTTATCCACAAGAAAGGAGACAGATTGGTTGTATGGCCCAAGTTTGACCATCTCAAGACTCCTTTTAAATGACTTGCGCCCCCATGGGTATTTGACAAATGAGTCGACATCCTTCAACATCTCTGCCACTTTCTTGGAAGCTTTAACAGCAGAAGAATTACAAACCAATATACCCTCAACTATAACAATCAGAGCCAGGCGGAGCCTACGTTCACCACTCATTCTTTTGGAACTGGGTAACCGCTTATCACGCTGCAGCATACTAACAATCTCCCGGATGGAGTATGTTTTATTGGGACCTATTAGAGTGTTGAAGTAAGCAGCCTCACCAGGTTTTGCAGTCTGCATCTTCTTTTTTTCTTCAGGGGAAGGTAAGGGACCACAATTTAAACCAGTGAGGATAGCAAATTCTCTCAGAGAGAAGCGAATGGGATGGCCGGCAAAAACAAACCACATCTCATACTTTTTATAGGTAACAAGCGACCGACATAGAATTTGATGGACTAGTTTCCCAGACAAAGAGCTCTTCCGGACAGGCAGATCAAAGAGACGCCCAAAGCAAGAAGATTTCAGCCACCTAAACTCATCTGAACCATCTAATACTTCAACAAGGTCTAGCAAATACTCTGGTCTCGAGTATGAATTGATACGCCCTCTGACAGGGTACCGATCTGTAGCAAACAACCGAGGAGGGAGAAGATCTGGAGAACTCTCTGAAGGGATACGAGAAGTCGATGGAACATCACTGCGGACAAGATAGAAAAGTCCGCAAAGGACAAAATTTAGAATTTGTCCATCAAATGAAAAAACTTTGTCTATGCACTTGAAAACCAATAAATGTCCACGGCTATACCTTGCTGGTATTGTAGATTCCGAGGGGAGATGGTTGTCGACTTCCGTGGAACTTGGGTCCAAAATGGGTGAAGCAGAACCGGCGCATAGTTCTGGATCTGTTGTCTTCGATCTGTTGAAATAATGGACAAGTTAGTTTAGAAGTCTTATAGACAAGATCTGTTGAAATTTGTCTACCAATTTAAAAGTCTTGTAGACAAGATCTTAAATAAACAGACCTAGATGGAGAGAAATTCACTAGGAGATCAGGCGCCGATTCGTCTGGATTGGAAGAGGCGTCTTCACCCGGGTTCGATGTGTTAGATCTGAGGTACAACAGAAGCGAAATAATGGTCAGAGGGGAGATCTGGGAACAGATCCGGAAGTTGTCTACAAGTTCGCGAATTCGTCCACAAAACAAATTGTCCGTTAACTATAATTGCTGAAATTTAGTCACCTAGATGGTGAGGACATCACCGGTAGAAGTTCGTTCTGGGCGTCGGAGGCATTAGTCGGGGGGAGTTTCGAGGTATCACCGATGGTTTCAGAATTCGATGGATCAGATCTGAGGACAAAATAATGAAAATAAATGTCAGAGAAGTGTTGTGAGAAAGAAATTGCGAAATTGTCTACCGTTTCACAAAAGCGACATACTTTGATGGAGAAGAAATCTCCGGAGGCAGGTTGTTGATTTCTTCGGAGGGATTATTCGCGGCTTCTGAAGAAATCAAACCGGGTGCTTTTTCGGGATCTGTTGTTTTCGAACTGTGGAAACAAAATCAATAGATTGATGGTTAGTTAAACATGAACAAAATCAAAGGGATCCAGAGAGAAGGGTTTGTTGAAGAACACTTACCCAGAATCAGTGTTGGTTTCCCGGATGGAGGGATTCAAATCGACCCTCTGCTTCATGAAAAAAAAAGGGTTGTATGGCATGATAATCGTTTTTTCCGAATAACCCTTTCAGTTTAAGGTTTTGAGAGAGAAAAGTAAAGTTTAAGGTTTTGAGAGAGAAAAGTAAGAACCCTAATGGTTTCGTCTGGAAATCTCTGGAAATGATGAAGAATATGAAAGGTTTAATTTTCGCGGCTAAATATGTCGAAAACAGAGAAAGTGGGAGTTCCCGTTCTCGAGAGAGGGGATATGACGTGTCACTGTTTTGAGTCAGAGCGTTTGACTTTGGTCAGTTGCAAAAGCATTCTCTCCAAAGGGGCAAAACAGTCTTTCCAATAGGGGTCTATGGCACGATTGAAAAGGAATGAGTGTATGTGGCAATTTTGTTAAGATTTTCAGGAGTATATGGCACATTTCTTAGTTTTCTCAACAATAAAACTACTAGATCGAAATTACCGAAAATACCCTCTCATGTTTACTACAACAGATACAGAATCCAAGGTTATTTCGGTAGTTTCAAGTTTCTGTCTAAAGCTCTTCTAATCTTGATAATACTCCCTTGTTCTGGTCGCCAAATAAAAATCAAAGTTCTCCTCCACGAATCACAAGGACATAGACTGTAATTTCGCGATGGGGTCAAGGGACCAAAAGGTAAAATGGAGCTGGAGCTCAGCCTTAATCGGAGCAGCATCAGCAACAGCAGCAGCTTCTCTCCTAAGTGCCAAGCCAAAAGATCCAACATTCCACCTTATCTCCATAGACCTTACCTCACTGAAACTAAACCTCCCTGTCCTCGATGCAGAGCTAATGCTTACCGTACACGTCACTAACCCTAACATCGCACCCATCCATTACTCATCCACCACCATGACAATCCTCTACGACGGTACGGTTCTTGGCTCGGCTGAGGTCAAAGCTGGTTCTCAACCGGCGAGATCTTGTCAGCTTCTTCGGCTACCGGCGCGTCTAGATGGTATGGAGCTTGCGCAACACGCGCGGCAGTTCTTTTCTGACGTGGCGAAGAGAGAGATGAAACTTGAGGCTAAGCTTACTATTGAAGGAGCGGCTAAGGTTATGTGGTGGGATCATAGTTTTAGGGTTCACGTGGATAGTTTTGTTACCGTTGATCCTGTTTTTCTTGATGTTATTGGTCAAGAGAATAAGTCTCAGATGGATTTGTTTCTTATTTAAAAAGATAATTATAATCCCTGTTCAAAAAATCGGGCGCCTAGCCGCCTAGGCGGCCGCCTAGTCGGTGATCGGCGGTCAACCGCCGCGATTTTAATCAAATCGGACTATTTAATCGGTAAACCGATTTTGCGGCCGTTTAATAATTAAACGTTGAAAATCGGTTAAAAGTCACCGATTTATTATAAAATTTTATACTGAATTTTGACCAAAACTCAAAAAAATTTTGGGCCTACATAAGCCCACACGAGCTATACTATGACAAATAGAAACAATTAGTAGGGTCATTTATAAGAAGTCGATTCCATGCTTCCTTCCTACTATTACCGATGTGGGACTTTGTGATTTTGAGTTTTGTAGAGATACTACTTTCACATAACGTGGCAACTGGCAAGTGATATCAATTCAGTAGTCAAATTAATAATTTGAATATATTTAAGTTCTTTATTTTTTTTTCCACCAAAATCTATTTATTGGTGGTCACTATATTTAGGTTCATATATTTTTTTTAACGTGGATGTCATTTAGTTATTATTAGTGACCGTTCAAATCTGATACTTTGTTCTTTTTCGTCCATATATTTAAGTTTCAAATAAGTTTTTTAAACTAACAAACTGTTTTCATATTAATAATAGATGATATTAGTCAAATATACATATATTATATTTGATACATATATGTATTTTGAATATATATAATTAGGATGAATGTCAATTTGATGTGAAATTAAATTCGCAAAATTGATGATAGATGTTTTAAACTTTTTTCATGGTTTTTGTTTTATAAATTTTGCAAACATGTTATCAATTGCCTATTTGTATAATAAATTCATAACACTATAAATTATTATAAAAATAACACTATATAGTGATCAAAAACTAATCCCCGATTAATCTTCGATTAATCTCCGATTTTCCGTCTAGGCGCTAGGCGGTGCCCGGCCGCCCGACTAGCGCCTAGCGATTTTTTGAACATGGATTATAATTGTACCATTTGTAGGTTGTGGTTAATTACTTAATTTTATATTTTTCAGTTATTGAAAAAGTCTTGAATTCTATAGTTAATTTTAAATTCGAGATGACTATCTTTATGCGAAAAGAAAAGTACTATTTCTTTACCAAAAAAGAAAAAAAATAGTATTTAATTATATAATCGACCGGGTGATATAAATATAAACGATGCAGCAATTCAACAATGCTTCCCAATGCTAATTAATTTGTTAATTATGGAAAACCCAAGTATTTTTGAAAATTTGTAGAAAACAATTTTATTTTGGACTTATAAATTACTATAAGGATTAAGAATTTGCAACAGAATTTTAACATAGTTTTTCCGGATCTCATGATTAATCTTTGATCCTATAAAGCCTTTAAGATTATCTGAGTTATAAAAAAAATATTCAATAACTATTATTCAGTAAATTAATTAGATTAATTTTATCATCTTTTATTTATAACTAATACGATAATTTACTTCAAATTTTATAACTGTATCAAATACTAACATCATTTATATTATTGATGTAAAATTTAATATCAACTTTTGCAATTAACACATAAATATTTATAACAACCAATGCAAAATATTTGCATCACTTTTTTCAGAGCCACTTATAACCAAGTCGCCTTGGTCTAGTGGTAAATGAGAGAAAAATCTCCGCCGTCTGGGTTCGAGTAGCATTTGCCATCGAGATTTGAATTCTAACATGGTTTCTCCGGACCTCATGTTTAGTATTTGGGCCGAGAAAGCCTTGATGATCACCTAAATCATAAAAAAAAAACCCTACAAATCCATTCTTTAAATAGAGATAAGAGAGAAATAAAGATTTTCGGATATAAACTAAAAATCCATTCTTAAAATAGTTTTAAGATAAACTCTAAATCATATCTAGCATCCTGGATATAAAAGTACATTTAGATTTTTGGAGAGACAATAAACCATAATCAGTTGGATTGACTTTGGGGGATTCCTTGAGAGTCTTCGGCCAATTCTAAGAATCGTGAAGAAAATTTCCAAAGTTACCTTATTTTCCCATGTTTCCCGTGGTATAACCAAATAGACGAAGTTTATACAAAGTTTACAATAACCACCGTTGGACGAAATAACCAAAATATATGCCGGAAGAGTAACAGATGCGTTAGCAGACATTGTGAGATCATCATAAAGCTTTACAATAACCACAGCAAAGTCTTCGATTTTGTAATTAAAGTCACGTACCTTAGCAAGCAAACAAAAAAGGAAATAAATATGGAATCAATCAAAGAGAAAATTTTGTACAAACGTTATTTTTTGTGAATATAATTTTACATTAAAAAAAATAAAGAAATTGTTTTCGTTTAGGTTTTTCTTTTCTAAATCAAAATTTTACTAAAAAAATCTATTAACAACCCGCTTAATTAACATTTATTAATTTAAAAGCTTAAGGTGATATGGTACCGACAACCAAAGCATAGCTTTTTATACAGACTATTCAGACTTGGGGAAGATGGTGTCTTCTCCGACTGAATGGCCAGTTTTTCAGTGTATTTGGAGGAAATTTAAAGCGACAAGGAAGAATTTTCTAATTTCTCTTTACCTTTAGTTTCACGTTGTACAAATGTTAAAACTAATAATTTGGCACGAAAAATTTGTACCAAACTGCATTATATTAACTTTGTAAACAACTTTTCCCACGAATGACATTTTTGAGCTAAATCTATTAAAGTTGTTGACAAAAAAAAAAGATGATGATTGGTTGGGCTGTAGGAATTAGGACATTTTTCAAAAAAATTATTTTAATATTTTCAAATAAGTTTAATATTAATTTTTTAAAAATTATTAACTTAAAAATCATTTTTGTAAAAGTTATTTTACTATTTTTAACTAAGTAATTCATTTTCCGAGTCTTTTGCCTACATATTTTTTTGATTATTTGTTAGAAAATGCATCTTATATGTCAATATTGTTAATTACTATCACAAATAATTTCAATTTGCAAAACGTATCTTATTTGCGGTGGAGAAAAATTATTTGATTGGTGACATTTCTCGACCTGCTGCTTGGCCACCCTTCAAGCTTCATTCATCCAAAATCTTAGATGCTTTGTGTAGAGTTTCAGAATGGAGGTTGGTTTATGAAAAAAGAATTTCTAATAGAGGAGTTTTTCTCATAGCTCAGAGTGTTACAAGGGAAGATCGTTTTCAATCATATGAGAAGCGAGTGGCTACCCTTTTTAGTTACATGAGATCTTCACTTTTGAGAGTGGTATTGTGTGTCCGTAATATATTTTTGTTTCCGTTGGTGATTGTGTTTGATTCTTTTTGTTTGTAAGACTTTTGTTATTGTTCTAAATTTCTAATGAATTATTTAGACGAAAAAAAATTTGTAATTACAAAACAAATTCAATGATTTTTTTTTCAACATCTATTAATTAGAGCTCAAAAGAGCCATTCTTCAGGAATGTTCTTTACATATGTGATATGATGGGATTCGGTACGAACTTTTCGTGCCAAATTATCCGCTTTTAAATTTGCACAGCGAGATATTAAAGATAAAGAGAAGCTTGCGAATTCTTCCTTGTCGCCCTCAAATTCGTCCAAATACATTGAAAATGCCGGCCATTCGGTTGAGGAAGACACCATTTTCACCATATCTGAACAATATGTAAACAAAAAACTACATCTTGGTTGTCGGCACCAAGCATACATTTCATCGCCCAGAGAAAAGCTTCCACTTCTTTATGTAGTGGAGATAGACTTCTACGGAGATTGGCAGCTTCCATGCAATGTCGGTCCGGTAAAATCCGGTGCCAAATACGAAAACAAAATTGGGGACTTTTTAAAAATAAAAACTGCTATTTTTATTTTTTTTTAAATTATGGGACATTCATAATTTTTATTTATTATTATTTTTAATTTTTGGATATTGTTTATTAATTATGAGACCTATTTACTAAGTATGGAGTATTGTTTTGTTAATTATGGAGTATTTTTACTAATTTTAGGGATTTTGTTTTGCTAATTTTGGGGCCTAATAAAAAAATCTCCACAAAAATGGGCCTCAAAAATATGAGGTCCAATACAAATGTATCATACAAATTGGTGAAGGGCCGGGCTTGCTCCCATGGTCGGCGATTCTTCATTTGATGATGTACAGAACCACCATATTCCTGAAAACTTATCACTTACTTTCCATGATCCTTCCACGAAGGAACGATATCCGTAATAAGTGGTATCATGTGAAATATCCCTCACTCGAGTTCGAGTTTCCAAATCCAATGAACCATGGTTTTCAGTATGAAGCTCAACTTGAGCTAACTGCCACTAAACCTAATACTTCTAAAAGATCTCTATCCATATTATCAAAGATACTTTTATTCCTTGCTTTCCAAATATACCAAATTATCCATGGATATGGAGATGAATTGACTTCTGAAGGTATTTTCCAAAATAAGGGATCCAAATTCGCATAAATAGAAGGCGAGAGAAAATTTTTTGGAGCTGCATGAATAAGTGAAAGTGCCCACATATGGCGCGCTACGTGACACTAAAAGAGTGTATGGTTAATTATTTCCTCTGAAGAGCCACATCTAACACATTTTGTATCACAATTTATACCTCTTTTCCATAATTTTTCAGTAACAGGCACGCAACCTGATAATATTTACCACAAAAAATGACTTAACTTAGGCAGACACTGCATTTTTCAAATATGTGCTTTTAGTTATTTGATATCTGGGCCAATAAACGATAAATTGATATCCAAATTTTCTAACTGCGCCGTATGATATCCAGATTTAATTGTATATTTTCCGAATTTTATGAAATGCCAACCTAGAGTATCCTCCTTAGTTGGCGCACCCAAAGACACATCACTTATGAGCGGGATATCTTCCGGACCAAAGAGCTCCTTTAAGAGATCAATATTCCAAAAATTTGATTGGCTATTTATAAGATTTTTGACTTTTAAAGATGGGTCAAAAATTGAACCATTACTTATTACTGGTCTATAGAATCGAGCTGGAATCCACATATCCTCCCAAACTGAGATGGACGCCCCAGACCCAATCTTTTAATAAGTCATTTATTAACCAGAGATCTAGCTAAACTATATTGCTCCATCCATATGATGGAGAGTATGATTTTATATTATCCAGAGGATTGAATTTTAGAAAATACTGTCCTTTGAAAACCTTTGCAAAGAGTGAGTTTGGAACCGTAATCAACCGCCATAATTGTTTTGCTAATAGAGCCGAATTAAAATTATCTACACTTCGAAATCTTAGCCCATCTTCCAATTTGTACTGCACAGTTTATTCCAAGCCATCCAGTACATACCTCTGGATTCACCATTTGAACTCCACTAGAATTTAGCGATCGCATGTAAGTTTAGAAGTGATTGTTTTCGGTAGTCTGAAGCAAGACATAACATAAGTTGGTAATGCCGCAGCTACCGCTTTAATCATCATTTATTTCCTGTTTTTTATAAGAACTAGGGGCTATCCCACTCTACGCGTGGACTTATGGTCTAATTTGTTTACTTCCAACTTTAGTTTTCTATATGAGATAGACATGAGTTCATATTTAAGAGCTATTTTCCATAATGTTTTGATAAATCATATCAATTTTTAAAGCTTTTCAACTCAAACAGAGAAATGACAGTTAGCTTTGAGTTTAGAAATGTTACTAAATCATTGTAATGTTGCCCATATCTGAATAAATGTACATGGCTTAACCATCTTTTGTTGGGGTTATAATGTTGTTTAACTGTCGTTGTATTCAATTACATAACTTCTCGGTTTGGTATAGATAAGCATGTCTTTCTCCAAAAGAATTTCTATTATCATCACCTCCATGATTTCGAATAACATGTAAATGTGGATTTTGTTCGTCCGACAATTTGACTCAAACCTACAAACAAAACAGAAACTAAAGACATAATTTGGGATCAACAAAGAAGAATTTATCAAATCCTAACGTCGAATAAATATTAGAACACTGAATACATGGCACTTCCTAGACTAAAACCTGAAGAGAGAAATAATCATTGGAGCTTGAAGTCACAATATTGTATCACGAAAAACACCGAGAGTTTTCAAAACGGAACCGCCGCATGTTAACAACCAACTGCTTACCGTCGAAGCAGGGCAATTTTTGTGGCTACCGGAGTGAATAGTGTTAACGGTGGCGTTTGGGAGAGTCTCCAAATCAGATACGAACAGAAGAAATCTAGATGGAAAGAACATGAAACTTAGCGTTACAGAGATGTAGAAGAAGAGAGATAAAGTTAACACAAACGTGAGATGCAACTGATACGGATTATTATTTGGGCAGATTTTCTCTAGCGCGTGAGGTTAAAATTGGGAAAAAAGTGGGCCAAAATTATCGTTGTTTTGGGTCTTGAAAACATAATACCGAAAATTTAATTTGATTCAGATCTGTTGTCTCTCACCCAATTATCTCTTTAATTTATGTCTTGATAGAATCATCTACTTTATGGTCATACTGAATCGATGATTTTGAAAAATTTATTTGTTGCCCTGAAAGGCGATAACATAATTTTAACTAAGAATTTCAAAAATAAAATTTAACAAGATAAACAAAAGTTTCACTTAAATTACCGAAAGACGAAAGTCAATTAAAAATTTTCCGTAAACGGAGTTTACTTATCAGTTTTCACATATCAGCGTATAGTTTTCTTCACCGGAAATGGCATTTCGTAGGGTTTTACTCTCTCACCTCCGCCGATCTCACCACACTTGCTCCTCTCTTTCCCCTCACCATGTCTCCGCCACGACCCATCCGTCAATCACGCTCGGTCTTTTCCAATCCCGCTTCTTTTCCACTCCACCTGACCTCGACTCTGAGCTAACTCGACTCAGAGACGATTCAGTCACTGGATTTGGAACCAATGGTCACGGACTAGATTTCGGAGATTTGAGCCAGGATTTGATCGGAGCTGATGTGTCAAACTATGATTACTTGACTCAACCTGTGATTTCGTTGCTTGATTCGTACCATGACCTCACTGGATTGCCTTGGTAATACAAAGTTCTCTGCTTTCTGATTTGGGTTTCTATCGTATGATTAGTTCTCAATTGAAATTGATTCAAAGTTTTGAGCTTTTTGCGAAATTTATTAGTTTTGTTAATTTGGATCAGATGAATTGGTCAGGTGGGTGGTTATTGCTACGTCTACTGTGGCATTTAGAACGGCTTTGCTTCCTATACTGATTCTGCAACGCAAGCAAACTAGAAGGATCTCACAGTTCTTACCTAAGTGTGAGCATTTTTTTGGGCCTTTGTTTCTTTAATTTATGAAGTCTTCTGTGGGATTTGTATTGCTAATGACAGAGCTCAACATTGGTGGTTGTGACTAGATGCTAATAATTTGATAGTGTTTTTCTTGTAGTACCGCCTTTCTGGCCTCCAGAGGGTTCAGGAAGGAGTGTTATTGATCAATTGAAGCTTTTCCGGAAGGAAAGAAAAGCTATTGGGTGCCCTTCGTTTTTGTGGGTTCCTGCTTATTTCTCTATCCAGGTGATGCTTCATATCTTCTTGTGGAACTAGAAGTTATCTGATATTCTGCGCATATTTCTGTAGAAATTTCGAAACTGTTACTTTTCGCAGCCCTATTGAGAGCATGAGTGAATCATTAGACCATATTTATAGAGATTAGATGGCTAGTTTTTTTTGCTATTTGTGCGACTTTTAGTTATTACCACTCATGTAACATTACCAATGAGTGTAAATATATGGTATACAGAATTACAGATATCATGAAACATAATTCTTTGAGTGGCAAGAAGTTGTAGGCTTACTCCCCCATTCTTCTTCCTGCAGATTTCATGTTTTTTCTTGTGGATAACTAGCATCAGAAGAATGTCACTTGATCATCATCCTGGATTTGATTCGGTAAGTTGCCAGCCAGTATATTGGAGGTCATATTTTGACTATTGTTTTCTTCTATTTCTGGCCTTCTATTATCGTCATTTAGTCAATGTTTTGGAAAATGTCTTCTGCCACAATCTCCTTTTAATGAATCCTTTGTTCCATTGCTTTCAGGGTGGAGCTTTATGGTTCCAGAATTTGACTGAAATTCCCAATGGTCTTTATGGTCCACTTTTCCCCTTTTTAATAGCTGGTTTGCATTACACAAACACACAGGTATATACTGTTGTTTCTCTTATAGGATCATGAAATCTTAAATAACAACTATGCCACATCTCATCAGCTAGAATCATTTCTGCTGAACTTTGCTTCCTGTTATTTTCTGTATTCCTGCTTGTTTGAAGTATATATACATTTTCCTGCAGATAACTTTTACAGCATCCTCAGTTCACAAAGTTGATAAATTCACAGAATTGGCAAAAGTGAGTTTTTCTACTTTAATGTGCAGTTTGATAATAGGAAGTCTGTATTTGATCATATATACTTCAAAGAACTGTTTGGCCGAAAAAGTAACTGGGACTTGGTTCCTGGCATTAAGTAAAACTACCAAATTCTGCCGAAAAAGAAAACATCTTGAGTGTTCATTATGCATGCTACTTAACAATTGATGGGTGTTCATATTTTCTTCTGCAGGCTTACAAGACATTTCTGAATTTATTGACATGTGCTCTGTATTTCCTTTCATTCCAAATGCCTCAGGTAGATTAATCTCTGATCATATACCCCCATCTGAAATTCACATATTCTTCTTTCCGGTTATGTTGGTACAAAGATGTTCTAATCAAGACATCTTCTAATTGATCATGTTAGTGTAATAATGCGAACTCTCAGTATACTTTATCTTTGTGTCCAGATAGTCTTTTCCATTGCCATGACTATATTTTGATTCTGTTTCAGCTTGAGGTCCTTCAACTAAGTTTCGAAAATTCCGAATTACTTGACTCTTATCCTTTTGTAAAAGTAAAACCTTTAATGGTGCCTAATCGTGAAACTATGCCATTCAAACTACACCATCTTCAGAGTCATGTGGAGTTCCATTATTGATATTAGTATCTGAGTGAATTCTGTTTAAGAGCTACTGCTCTCAGTTTACTAGTACTCCCTGGAACAGCTATTTTCTCTCCATTCTTTCTATTGGGAATACTGTATTTTTTACTGCTACCTGTTCAAAAGTTTCATTTCTTCTCATTTTGTTTCGCGATTACTTCTCAGGGAAGTCTACTCTACTGGTCTACCAACTTGTCATTCAGCATTGCTCAGGTTTGTTCTAATGAGTGCAATCTATGATTTACTAATTCGTGGTGTCTGTTGGGACAAGCTTTCTTTAGATCAAAAAAGAGAGGAGCCAGTACTTTTTCTGTCTCGCATTCAGGCAAAAACTTGAGATCTTAGTTAAACTTGTTAAGATGATTAATTTCGTGAAAAATGGGGATAGAAATAAATTGCTGAGGATGTACTCAGTCTTGAATTCATGTAAACTAAAAAATCAATTTGACTCTCAGCATCCGAGTCAGGGGGAATGATACGGGCTGTTGACTTGAGGTTCCACAGCTTTTCTTAGACGTTGGTCCTATAAGTTACTGAAATAGTGTAGTAAATAGTTAAAAAAGTTTAGTAACTCTGTGTAGGGGAATTAGTTTTTATACTGGTTATGGGTAGACAGAAGTTTACCTAAAAGGAACTCAGTCAATTCAGCTTATGACCAAAACAATCTGATTTTTTTTTATGGTCTGTATCTCTGTTCACAAAAACTCTACCTTCCCTTTAGCTTTAAATATGTAAGTACCCTTCAATTCTCTCATAAAGCGCATTGGCTTTGTTGTAGCAATCAATCCTTAACCATCCCGTTGTAAGTGCAAAGTTGGGCCTACAAACAAATGACTCTGTACAGAAAGAGGCTGGCAATCCTATATTAACAAATATAAATGAAGCGAAACTCACTGATCCATCCTCGAAAGGACGCTTGATCTCAGTGCATAACTTAACCCCTAAGGAGTTGGTTGCTGTAAGTCAATGTCATGGATCGGTATGTTCTAACAGTATTTTAATCTGCCACATCTTTGTTACTAATGTTAACAGCTTTTCTCGTCAGCTTTCTGCCAAATACTTATCCGGAGGGCACAAGGATAAATCAATTCCGCTATTAAGGTAACTATGTAGCTATGATTGCTTCTCATCACGAAAAGAATTTCCTTGGATGTTGTAGTTAGTTGTGTTTTTTTCTTTTTCTTCAGATTGGCATTAGAAAGGGATCCTGAATACCTTCAAGCTATGGTTATTCTTGGTCAGGCTTTATATCAGAAAGACCAGTTTGCTGAAGCTGCAAAATACTTAGAGCAGGCTGCTTCAAAGGTGAGATTTTGATGTCTCATTCTTTAGGACATCTGATAAGAAACCCATAACCATATTAATTGGAGGTAATTATGATCCTCTCAGCTTCTTGATACCAGTCCAACAGAAGTTGAAGAAGTCGATCTTTTAATCGTTGCATCCCAATGGGCAGGTGTCTCCAATATACGCCAGGTGCGTTATTCACAAATTGCTTGTTTTCACCTATCTCTTTTTTTGTAAACACACGTTGATGCAAAAATACTAAAAGAATTGTTCGCTCATGGCTTTAGGGAAAGACATCGGAAGGAATCACACACCTCGAAAGAGTAGCAAACATGAAAGAGCCCGACGATCCTAAGAGCAAAGCTCATTACTTGGACGCACTGGTACTCTACTCAAGGTAAAAACAAAATCAAGTAAATTATTCTCATGAGTTTGCTCTTGTGACATGTAAATTCAGAAAGACTTAGAGAATAGGTGAACCTGAGAATTGTTGTTCTTATCATTATGTGTGTGCAGTGCGATATTCAACGAAGGAAGAAGAGAGGAAGCAGCAAAGTATTTGAGAAGAGTAGTGGCTTATGATCCATCATTCAGTGAATTGTTGAAACAATGCGAAGAAGATGATACCATTCCAACTTCTTCTTCATCTAATTCTACCAACAAAACTTCATAACATATTTTCTTCTATTGGTTTCTTTCTCTTCCACCCTTTACTGATTTTAAAATCGATTTTTTGGTTAATTCGTATTCACGTTACGAATGTGGATAGATTATTTTCTTTTACTATATTCGAAATAAGTATGTATACGAATACGATTATACATTAGAAGAAAATAAAATCGTACATACAGATTTACTTTCAAATTGTAAAACGGCTTGATACACACATTAGCAAATTTTTGATTTACACATTACTTTGATCTTGGAGAAAAAAAGAACGTTCCTATTATGAGATTGGAGAAAGAAGAAAATCATCTTTCTCAACAAAATTTCTCTAACAGAACAAACTACAGATCTTGTAGTAACAATAAAAGTCTAAATTAAAGACTATAACCGATCAAGCAATGTGTAATTGTTTGCTCTCTTTGGGTAATAAGGTTGACTATATAAGTTACCATCTTACCGGCACACACCATGTAGTAACAAAAATAGCTCATACTCGGTATATATTAATGTAGACATTTAATAATTTGGGGTTTGGTACAAATCTCACTGCCTTTTTGTTAACTAATTCAAATCCTCCCATACCATTCTCGACTTCCATTTTCACTAGTTGAATCCGTAAGCTCACTACTATATTCTGTATACTAAATCTTGAAGTTGTCTATAAGCTCACGACCCTATCTTCATTTCTCTCCTTTTTATCACCCCTTGTTCTTTGTTATGTAGAAAAGATAGTTCCTTCACATCGCATATACTTCATTATCATCATCTCATTAATTTTCCATGGACTCTAGTATCTTCCGAAATCAGTAATCTTCACACACGTTTAGATATTTTGCTCAAGTAACATTTATTTTATCTATAGTTTAAGAGATTCGGCGAAAGATTAAACGGTTTTTATTTTCACGTCTTTGTCGCAAGAAAATGAATCCATAGACGTCTATTTTTCATACATGTATAATTTACTTTTATCGCATTCTAAGTATTTTTCTCTTCTTTATAATTTGGAGATCAAAGCCTTTTCTTGAGTCATGTGTTTTTGCTTACTTCCTATGTAAACCCTCAAAACTTTTTTTTATGGTTTGTTTATATGGATCCAAGACTTTCATCTTTGTGTTTTCGGAAGATCCAAGACTACCCATGGAAAATCAATGCGATGATGATAGTGAAGCATATGTGATGTGAAGGAGCCTGAGAGAGATATATGTACGAAATTAGTGTGTAGGCACCGTTTGATATAAGGTTGATCATGTAACTAGTAATGGTATATTTTCAGAATTAGTATCACCTATATATTGAAAATACAACTCCGGTCTGATTTTATCATTCAATCTATTGTATGTTTTTTTGTTTGTTTAAGTACACAACTATGAAAACCTGAACTAGAAATCTAAATATTTCTCCAACCTGCATAATGATGTCATTATACTTGTGTTAGTTCCAATGTTTTTAGTTTGATATGGTACTCATTTATTTTTTCTTAAATCTAGATTGGGCTTTCTTGTCTAACAGTGATATGTGTTGAAGGGTTGTCATGTTATCTATACCGAGATTCAAATATATAGAGATATAATAAACTGGTTGCAAAAAAGATCCAGATGAATTTATGGAGGTAGAGTTATAATATAACATCTTAATTTTTTTATACAACAATTCGTTTAAAGAAAAATGTTTAAGATTATGATACAAAATAGGTGAAATTGTTTCATGAGATCGAAAAGATAATAACATAATAAGTTTATTCACTGCACATGTTACATATGTATGAACCAAGCTTAAAATTAATTTATGTCAAACTGGCAAAATTTGGTTTGATTCGTATATTTTGATTGAGACATATCCAATTCATAGACCAGATATATACAGAAAATAACCCTCCAGCTCTCGGACCAATTAGTCAATGTTCAGTAATTCATCCTCATGCTCATGAATGTTTGAACCTATTATTATTATTTTATTCAGTGTTTTTGTACATTTGTGTGACTATGAACTCATTCTTGTTTTGATTTGATGGCGTGTTACTATGAAAATAATTGAAACTCTCGATTCATATTTAGTCTATTGTTCACGTGTAGATTTATTTTAAGAGAACCAAACCAAGTACAACACGCATCCCACCCTTCCTCGTCACTTCATGAAGACGCATTTCTGATCAAAATATTTTACACTGATGAATATTCATGTTTGAACCACCCAGTGCATGAATACATAATAATTTCAACATGCATTACACAATATACATGATTAATTTGGATGATGACAAATCAACGATTATCACAAACCACTAAGTTATATGTTTCATCAAATTAGAAAAAAAGAGAGTTAAATTAGTTAAAAATATGAGTTCATTTTTGATTAAAAAAGGGTAATTATGAAAGTATAATTAAGAAATATTATCAAGCCTCTTAACAAAAAATATTAAGAAATATGTAGTTGAAAATGATAATTTGAGAAATATGTATTTTGTAGTGATGAGGAGATGAGTAGATGATTTTGGTCTTAGCTAAATAGGTAATAAAATATTGGGTAATATTAGTTAATAGCCAAATTAAACACATAAATTAAAGAACTAAGCAGATAGAAAGTTTTTTGCTGCAAAATAGCCATGGACCCATGTTGTCAAAAAAAGTGAAATAACCAAATCATCTTTCGTTTGTTGTGAGTTCAACCATATGCGAGAAAGTTTCGTGAGATTTTTCAAAATAGCATGTAATATTTAAATTTCACGTGTTATATTGAATCAAAAAACATGATATTTAAAAAAACGTAGTGATTTTTTAAGAAAAAAAAAATTGGTACGTAATGTTTTTTTAAGAAAAAACATTGTTATAGAAAAATTTAATATGAATAGAATGTTTTTTAAAGAAATTACATGTGATTTTAATAAAAAAAACCATGTATTATTACAAAATAAGAATCTTTTAAAAAAAGAAATCACATGTGATCTTAATAAAAATCGTGTATTACTACAAAATAACATGATAAAGAGAGATATTAAACTGAATAGAATGTTTTTTTCCAGAAATATCATGTGCTCTTTATACAAAACGTGCAATACGAGAAAATAACATGATAAAAAGAGATATATTATGCTATCACATGTAATGCGAGAAAAAAGCGTGTTACAAAAGACATTTACGTAATTACGCGTGCTCTCCGACATGTTACCGACAAGTTACTGTAGCATATGGTTATTTTGTTAACTATCCTCAAAAATTTGATTATTTTGTGCATATTTTCTAATATATTCGGTTTATAAGAACATAAAATAAAAATTATTAATCAAAAATATATACTCAATTTAAATTTGTAGTAAAAATAATAGTAAAAACGATAAAAGATATTATCTATATGTAATAAATATACGAAAGATTATTTTTTTTAATTTATTATATAAACCACATTGAATAAGCTAAGACTCTTCACCAAAAAACAAAAAAAAGATGAAAAATATAATCTAAGACATTTTCCGAGAATATGAAGATCTGTTATTCCAAAAAAAGAAGAAGAGAAAATGATTTGACCTTTTCGTTATCTCTTCCAGAATGTAGAGTTGTAGACAAAAGAAACAAGACTTTTTGCCTTTTGGGTCTCCGAAATCAAAAGCAAAGACAGTTTCCGAGAAAATTTCTTCGGTTGTCTTACATGAGACATGTAAAATCAACATTTTCACGACTTTCTTTGTGCAATAGTGAAATCAAAAGTCGGGCATGACTATTTTATTTTACATGTGATGCAACTTTTTGTCTGTTATATTTCTCTAAACTCACATTTGTAAAAACATAAACGAATCTCACATTTTTAAGACCTAATGATTAACTTGATTTTTTTTTCTTTTGTGTAACTTATATCCACATAAATTCTATACTGTGCGATAAAAAGAATTCTTACATGCATATAATTAATTAGCATATCATATATCAATGACACCTTTTGTTAAATAATTTATATGTTCTGAGTAAAACTACAATCAAGAGAAAAAAAAATCATGGATCTACATGAAAGATAAAAAATAAAGTTATTTACGGCGGCGCATGTAGGGGTGTCAAAATGGGTCAAGATTAATAGGTCAACTCAACTCAACTCAACCCATGAACCCTAATGAGTTGAAAATTTTGACTCAAATGAGTTGATGGATCAAATGAGTTATTGAGTCAAATGGGTTGATGGATCAAATGAGTTGGGTTGTAATGGGTCAATGATTTCAATGGTTTACCCATTTAACCCATCAATTTTTGTTAAATTGAATCAAACCAATTCAAATCTCAAAACCGATTTTAATTGAATCTAACCAAAACTTCTAAACCGATTGAATATAGTCCTTAATTTTCCCGCCAAAAATGTGAATACACAATTTCCTCATCAAAATATAAATTCGTGATATTCCCGCCAAAAACGTAAACCGTAATTTTCCCGCCAAAAACGTAAATCCGTGATTTTCCCGCCAAACAAATTTATAATTTTTAACAAAAAACGAAAATATGTAATTTTCCCGCCAAAAACGTAAATCCGTGATTTTCCCGCCAATTTTTTTTGTAATTTTTAACCAAAAATGAGAAGGTAAAATTTTCCCGCCAAAAACGTAAATCCGTAATTTTTTCGCCAAAAACGTAAATCCGTGATTTTCCCGCCAAATTTTTTTATAATTTTTAACCAAAAATGATAATGTAAAATTTTCCCGCCAAAAACGTAAATCCGTGATTTTCCCGCCAAAAATGTAAATCCGTGATTTTCCCGCCAAAAACGTAAATCTGTGATTTTCCGCCAAATTTTTATAATTTTAATCCAAAAATGAGAATGTAAAATTTTTCCGCCAAAAACGTAAATCCGTAATTTTCCCGCCAAAAACGTAAATTCGTGATTTTCCCGCCAAAATTTTTTAATAATTTTAACCAAAAATGAGAATGTAAAATTTTCCCGCCAAAAACATAAATCCGTGATTTTTCCGCCAAATTTTTTTATAATTTTTATCCAAAAATGAGAATGTAAAATTTTTCCACCAAAAACGTAAATCCGTGAATTTCCCGCCAAAAACGTAAATCCGTTATTTTCCCGCCAAATAATAGTGATGTTGATTATTTTATTATTATTATTATTATTATATTTTAATTATTAATCTATTTATTACATTAGTAGGTTAATGGGTCAAC